AGGTGCGCGACCACATCAAAGGCGCTACCGATGGCCGTATGTCGTGTTTGTGCTGAAACATGAAACGCCGCATAGTGAGGTCCACAAGTAGATGCACGTCACACAGAGGCACATGTTTTTGTGTTTCGATTAAATGGCACACCAGTCAGTATAAATTCAGCTGCGGGGCTAACCTAGGAACTGGCGCACGAGTGCGTCTGAAAGCCAAAAACGCAATATAGTATGCATAGTATAGGGACTGCTTTAATTTATATCGATCGCCCGCGTTCGCATGGAAGATAGCGGACTCCCATCATTCCGACACGTTTATTAATCCGTCGCCGTGATCGTGCCTGGGCTGGCTGGCCGCTTCCCGTGTCGGATGGCTAATTTATACTCCGGACTCAATTTTTACTTGGTGAAAGCGTAGATACACTAATTTGGATGTAGGGCACCGCCCATCGAAACTGTCATATTTGGGGGTCGGAAACGAGACTGTGAACGGGACTGTGTAGTAGACTGTAGAATTTTATTCATCTAAACAAACTCAAGTGAATATTAGCAATTTCCGACTTTGGGCAGACGATTATATGGTGGGTTCAACAATAACGGCGGTGCGTGCCCAACATGTGCAACATGGAAGCAGGAGTGAAAACTTGCCGGAGATACAACCTAGACTAGCTCTTTTGTTGATAACTGGTTCCCTGATCGGACAACATGTAGCTTCTACTTGAGGCTAAAAAGAGGTGTCAGGCAAGCTATTGCAGTCAACAGCCCAATTGCAGCAGCCCACAGGCCTTGGTGGGGGCCACACAGACCGTACTACCGAAATCCGTCGAACAGTCGAAAAACCTGCTGCAGCAGCACCTATGAACAACGGCCTGGTGATGCTCCTGGTAGGAAACTACTTCATGGGTACAAGAGGTCAAACAGGCGCAAATACAGGTCCTTCCACCCCCCTCACGGTTGCCACGTGCGCGCTCCAACAACGCGCGAAAGCGACCACGCCCGGTGTCCGCAGGTCTGCAGCAAAGTTGGAGAGGTTGTCATGTTCATGCATCATTTGACTCTCACCAAGAACAGCGTGTTGAACGCGCCGAAGATGACCCCGGGGGCGAACACGAAAAGAAGCCCGAAGCCGATGGTGGCTATGGTTCCGGGGTCAAGCCGAAATCCTCCTCCTCCGCGTCCACCGCCCCCGCCGCCCCCGAACACCATGGCTGTTGCCTGGCTCCGTCTGCTGGATCGCCGCCCCGCACGGGACAGCGGTAGTGCTGGCGCTCTCCTCTCCAACCCGACCTTGTAACCGATGGGGTCCGAGCCAGGCTGGAACTGCGATACGTGGCCGCGACTCCTGCCTACTGGTATGCGGCTGCTATGCAACGCAGCCGGAGGCGACGCGAGGGTTGTGGTCGGTACGAAGGCGGTGCTTGATTGCATTGACATCAAGGCAGCAACGGCCGTGGTGCACGCCACCATGGCGAAGCTTCTCCTCTTCGGCATGGCTCAAGGTCTATGGTAGCCTTCGTCCTGAAGAGCTTAGGGGAGGCCCTAGATGTTGGTAGCGGGAGTTGTGGTGGGTGTGTGACACGTGCCTGCTGCACGAGCCGCGAGCGTGGCGTGTTCAAGGAAGCAAGTGCTTGGCCCCGGGGGCTCCGCATAATCGAAAAACCAGATACGTGTCGGCTGAAATCCCCCCGCCGACATCTGACATGTCCGACACATCGCACCGTGACGCCCACACAAGGACGTGATGACGATGGCTGGTCGACGCCTGTGCCGTGCCCTTGCCTCAAACGCGTCTGCACTGGCGTCCTGCGCCATTGCGGTGTCTGCGGTGCAAAACAGTCTGACACCTCTAAGTTGCTCAATCAGCGAAGACGGAGGCAGTAGTCCGCGGGGTACTAACCGGCGAAAGCGAGAGAGGAGCGAAGAGGAGGAAGAACCCGTGAACCCATGCGCCGAGTTCAACACGCTCAAGTGGAGGATGAGCTACGCTCACCGCAAGTGAGAGTGTGTGGTAATGCAACAGCAGCAGTAGTGTTGTGTTCACAAAAGAAGCATTGCCGTGCTTACCCGATGTTCATACGAGCCGATGAATCCGTCCAAGATACAATCGACTGCTTACACCAACCCCCTGGCATATCTTGTAGTTTAGGAAAACGTTGCCCCCCGCGCTGGGAGAGTTGCTCTAGCTGCGTTGGCTGCTGCTAGACCCGATGCCGTGCTAGATACGGTGCCGAGTTTTGCTACAACACACAAGACATTCATTCCATGAATTGAAACGCCGATGCTACATGTCGGCCGCCATCTTACCATAGCCCACACCCCCTTGACCCAATTTCAAAGCTCGATTGCTCTTCAGCAAGGAGGTCTTTAACTCTGTACAATACCTTGACTCCTGCGGTGCATGGAACGGCGGGCGACCAATCATATATATGGGGGTGTTTGATTTAATTAATTGTTTTTAGGTTTGGGGAGTACATATCAGCGTCGGTGCCGAAAATGGCGGCGTTGGAACGGTCTCGTCGAGAGCTAATTCCGACCATACATCCGTTTGACTGCTGTGGTGTGTCCTCGTTGTCGTGTGGAGTAGTTCGAAATTTATAAATCGATCCATCCAAGCGGGGTATGGTATTTTACGTACACCACGGCAAGGAAATGCCTACTGCTGTACATAAACGGTACCGATGACAACACACGCCGTTTGTAGGCGAGACGGAGCGCCGGGATGGGAATTACGACAGGCAGCGCACCGGCGAGGGTGTGACCGGAAGACTACACGACAGGCTGCCACTGCTAGTCTTGTACCACCCCTTGCCGAAGTCGGGTCACGTGGGGCCACTGCCGTATGTGAGACAAGATGCCACACCCCCTGGGCCGATTTTCAAAGCTCGACTACTCCACGACGAAGACGATGCCAAAATCAAATGATAGGTTTTCGGAAAGCTCTCGACGAGGCGGTTCAAACGCCGCCATTTTGGGCACTCTGGCGTAATCGAGCTTTGAAAATCGGTCCGGGGGGTGCGGTATCTCGTGCCACCTACGGTTTACAGTGCGTGTTTTGATAGGCCGCTACACAGCAGCTGTGGGCGAAATCTCTTAGTCCTGGCACGCGATATCTGTCGTCAGCATGGCAACCATTCTGCCTCCGTCTCTCTCCTCTTGTCTACGACAGGGACGATTGTAACGCGGAGGATTCTTGCGTTTTCGTCGGGCGGAGCGTTACCGGCGCGTGCGTCCCCAGGGACCCTTCGATACTGCACAAGGTGTGAGGGTGTCCACATCTACGCTTTATTTTTTGTTGCTGTGTGCCAGGGAGTCGATGTGCGCCCGCGAGCAGTTTTATCCGGGCCCTTTCCTGCTGCGGTGAATGCGAGCGCAGTTGGCGAAGTCTAGAAGCCGAAATAGACAAATTGTCTGCGCTTACTAGTCTAGTGGTTTTAGTTTTCGGCTTCCAAAGAGAACATAACGAACGCTCCATGATGCTGATTTCTGCTGTGATGCATATTTCCTTCGACCTGAACGGTTGAAGACCCCCCAAGTGTCTTAACTTTGTTGCCGCGAGCCTCAGTTCTTACTACTAGATGCGCCCGCGAGAACGAGGTAACTTGCAAATTACCCAAGACGCATGCGAAGTCCGGGCGGGTAAATTCGTGAATGACGTTGCTCGCCAGACGTCACCTGAACCCTTGCCGACTTCTGCTCTCCCTCCGACCCTTTCGTTTGGTACACAGCACCTTGAAAGCTCTTGGTGTCATCGATTTTGTATATTTCGTTATTTTCCGATCCTTGCAGTGTTTTCGTTCCCACTTGCGACCTAACGCTGATTGCTGAGCATCGGTTTTCCATCGCCCTTCCCTCTTGTGTGTGGGAACATCATTGAATTCGACCACCATCCTTGGGCAACGGTATCGAACTCTGATGATGTTGGTGTGTATGGGAACATCCTTGAATTCGACCACCATCCTCGGGCAACGGTACCAAACTCTCATGATATGGTCCGACACGCGTGGATAAACGGTCCACCAACGCCATCAGCGAAGGAGCTTCCCAAATGTCCCCCTGGTTTTGCCGGATAGCGACGGTTCCACGAAGAAACTCCAAGCCGCTCTTCAAAGGTGAAAATGCGCCATTGTAGGTCTGACTTTGATGTCACCGTTTGCTGTGCATGTCGGACATGGTCTAGGGTGTCGCGTGCTATGAACCAGAACTCAGCTTCCTTCTGCTAAGAGTTTGCATGGGTAGTTGGTGTCTGCTCCATTCGGTACGCTGGTTTTTCAAGCTCCCCTCTGTTGCGTCTCCTGCGCTACTATCTACCATTACTGTTTTTTCCCTCTGAAGTGTTGGTAGCCGAATCTTGGCGGTGGTAGAAGGGCCACGGAGCATGCATGGCTACGCACGTCTCCCGTCTTGGGCGTCATTCCCAACCAATAGTCCCCGGAGTCTGCCTCTGCAGGGCAAAACAGGCCGTGTGTAAGCCGATCGATTCTGTACGTGTCCGCTTCACACGAAATTCCCAGGCAGCACACGGCGAAGGTGATGAGCGAGACCATAGACGAGCTCGAGTCGGAGTTCGAACACAAAGGCGTGGAATGGTACTCCGACACCAAGCTCGCAGCGAACAAGTTCCGAGAGCTCATGTCTGCGCTGGACGTGGAAGAGAGCACGCAGGAGCTGGCCTTGGCGATACTGAAGGAGGAAGGAATGCATGCTGTGCAGGTGAAAGTTCGCGCGTGCCTCTTTTTTTTTTTTGTCGTGCAATTTTTTTTCTGGATGGCGGTTCTCTCACCTTTCGGGGTACAATTTTTGATGCACTAGCCGGGGTCGCACATGAGGACGGCCTCAAGGCGTGACTCTTTGCGAGTTACTGTTGTTGCATATTATCTTCCCATGCGGTTGCTGGGCGCTGGAATATTGTTCTTCTTTGTGTGTTCAGTAGGATTTAACAGAGCATCTGAGGTCGCCAAACAAACGCACTGTTTTTAGAGTGGGTCGATGGTGTAGATTGGAGGTGGTACGTGTGACGAAACAAACGAAACGCAACGAAAGGTTCATGAATAACTTTTCGGTGTGGGTGGGTGGGGTTTGGGAGTGGAGGTGGTCTTGGTTGTAGACCATGCCAGAGATTACCGACAAGGAAGGGACTGCAAGACTCTCAAGATTCCGTTGCGATGTTTCACTGGCTCGATGGTACAATAAACTCGTAAAACAGGGTAGACGCGAAATGGTTTGTGGAAAAAGGTACAGACGTTAGATTTCATGGGACCAACGTTTGACCTGGTATAGAACTTTTTCTACTCTTCCTGTAAAGGAAGGGGAAACGCAAGCCAGCAATGGCAGGGCGCCCCGAATTAAGAGTGCCGCAAGAGAACATTAAGGCGTCTAGTGTATCTTCGTTTCGTCCCTCTACAGCTCTGGCAGGAGGTGCTTCGTGATTTGATTTGAGCAGCACAAAATGCGCCGCGGGGTAATTGACACGTTACGCTGTTTCGGAACTCGTACGTTTGATGACTTCGTGTCCATTAGTCTACGGGCAAGCGGGTTTCTTAACGAACGATTTTCGGGAAGTTTCCATTGCCCAGCGCTGCACAGCCTGTGCAGGGTACAAGTTTGCAGGTTGTCTATGACATAAGGATGTCTACTCTTCGGTTTCATCGAGCACTACGGACCAGATAATTCATATTGTAGCACATGATGCGGCGTGTGATGCTGGGTAAGCTTGTACGATGCATGGAAACCGTTTTCTTCAACGCTTCCATCGCATTCCCTCTCTTCCCAGGTTTTCGTGAAGAGTCAGTTGGCCAACGCTGCCGCCGAAGAGCTACGATATCAAAAGTCAGCGACGGAAGCCTTCGCCAAAGACTTTCTCATGGAGGTATGCGTTTGGGCGGAGCAGCTCCTGGGGATGCATACCATTTCCACGGCGATTTTCTTCAGCTTGTAGTAGACGTTACGACATCAAGGGCTTGATCATTGCGGTTTTGTGGTGCAGGTCGTCCCCGATCACATCCTGGTGAAATATTCCCAACGTGTTTTGTTGCTTTGCGTCGTCGGTGCCCATTCGAAAGTCTAATCATGCGAGACAGGGACAGTGCCAATGGCGTACTGGTAGGATAGGTAGGACGGAGACGTCGTAATTTTGGTAGCAGAGACCTTTCGCGCAGGCTTGTCGTGCGGGGCGATACCCGGCACAGGTCCTGCCGCATTGTTTGTATTTCTTGAGTCCCGATGAAGGAGTCCTCCCGTCGTGGCCGCCGACACGAACGCAGTCTTGGTTCCACGTCTGGTACTGATCGCCCATGCCGCAATTTTGAGCCATATTTTGTTCATCATTCCCGGCACCATTGCTTCGGCAGCTTTCGCATTTCGAGAAGGCGATACATACGATAGCACTTCTTGGAGTGCCCCTTGTAGAGCGGATCCCGTGCTTTTTTTTCGCCCGCCAGGAACGCGCTTTCTGTTTCCTGTTGTGTCGCTTTCCTCGTTGAGTTTAGGTGATGCGCGAGCCGGAGTTGCCGGGACAGATGGGGCACATGCTCGAGTCGGTGTTCAAGGTGAGGCTTGCCCACAAAACTGCCTTTTCCTTTGTACGGCCGTTTCAAGGCATCTG